TTTTTGGATATATTCCTATTAGTTCTTGATCTTCTGAGTTTAATTTGTTTCCTTTTGAAAACTTTTGGAATGCTGTTTTGTAATTTTCTAATGCTATATGAATAAATGATATATATTCTGGGTTCTCTACTCCCAGATAATTTGCTACACATCTATCTGTTTGAATAGTAAATCTTGTTTGTGATTCACATATTTCTTGTCTTTCCTCTACTGGCTTTGAAAATACACCCTTGATTCTCTTTAGAGTTGACATCGTTTCATATATCTAAATTCTTATATGAATATCTTTACACGTTGATTTAACTTCTACTTTGTTGTATTAAAATCTAGTGCGTTTTCTAGAAAGTCTTTTAGTTTTTGCTATTAGCACGTGTGTTTTTGTTTACTTGTTGTTTTTCCGTTAATTCTAAAAATAGTAATGCGATCTGCTGTTTGTTTGTTTGTTTATTCTTCAGATCTTACGTGTTTGTTGTTTTGTTATTGTTTACGTGTTTTAAGATCAGATTTTCAAGGTCTAAGCAAATTTCCCAAAATTTTTCAAAAATTTTCTAAAAATTTCTAAAAAGTTTATTGTCGCTAAACCAAAGGTCTTGGGTACAAGCTTCTTCTAATAAACTATAGGTTATTTTAAGTGCTCTCTCTTTTCACTTAGTACTAGATACCTTGTTTCTTATACTAGATTTAGAAATAATTGTTGATTTTGGTTTTGACCGATTAAAAATTACAGATCAGCAGAAAGAGTTTTTGGATATGTTTTGCCTTTTATATAAAAATTTATTATTACATAATTTTACTTCATAAATTTAATATTATATTGATTACAGATTAATTACACTAAACATCAATATACTTTCAGTTTATTACAATCTAATTACGCAGTAATTTCAATTTATTGCAGACTAATTATGCCGTAATTCTAATTCTAACGATATAGTAGTGATTTTGGTCACGCATCATTTTAATAAAAGACTGAATATAGTATTGTGCTATATGCATGAGTCAAAAACGATATGCATTTTTTTTTTTTTTTATGAGCTGGGTCAAAAAAGATAGATCAGATAGATCAAAAACAATGTTTTTGCACAATTGAGGCTTAAAAAAAAAAAAAATTTAAAAAAATGGGTTGGCAGTTAATGCAAAATGAAAAATCAACTTTGTGTAGCCTTAATGTCAACCTCGTTAATATCAACCTCCCTTTAATATTAACCTCTGATTAAGACAAAATAGACTCAGGGTATATTAAAACTATCATCAACTCTCATATATATCAACATAATTGCCCAATCCAAATAGGTTGATATTAACGAGGGTCAAGTATATTGCCAAATACTAATTCAGCAATATACTGTATAATGCGTAATTAAAAGCATATATACTTAACCTTAATGAAACGAATTTTATTAACATTCATAATAGGTGTTTTGAACTGAATTCATTTAATTTATTTCAAGAAAAAAATCTATTTATATACAATTGTTACACTTTTTTTTTTTTTTTAATATTTCCTAACATTATTTACCTTAGGGTGCCAAATAGGTGTACTTTATTAATATTAACTAATTATACATTAATTTATATTACAAGTTTAGGTGTTCAAGAATGCTTTTTTTCTCTTTGTTATTAGTATGGCCTGTGTTTCTCAAAGTACAAAGAGCTTTAGTTAATCGGTTTCTAGTAACAAAAGGAATAATAGCTCTGGGATTGGGGAAAGCTCTACTTGGATTGCATGTAATATAGCCAAATTTCATAGATCTCAAAAATGTATAACTATCTTATTAAAGGTCTGAGTTTGTTATTTGCTAATTTGCTAAGTTGTAATACTTCTTCTAATGAATTTGGCAGAGAAATATTCTTTTGCACTGAAATTCTGGAGTATAAAATGTTTCATATTTTTCTGCTCAAGTTGCATCTTACTACAAAGTGTTCTAATGTCTGTAAAGTTCTCTGGTAGTATGGGCACTCTCTATTCTTAGTTTTTGATATGTAAACTAACCTATATCTCAAGAGCAGAGCCCTGTGTGTCAGCTGCCAATAGATATCTATTTTTTTATTTTCTGCCCATCTTATACCATGCCACTTCCAGGAGTTACTCATCATAACATTCTCTCCTTGGTTTAAAAGGGTTAATGTTGGCTTCAGAAATTTGCCTCTTAAAAAATCTGTGGCTTTTTTAACCAAATATTCTTCACCTTTTATTTGTGCTATCTTTATTTTTGCGGAGGCCATAGCCACCTGTCTGAACTTGTGTTCACCTTTTCTTCTAATTTTTTCCAAGCCTTCACATAGATTTTCCATTCTTCCAGCCATCCTTTCAAACTAAGTAATATATCATTTAACGCATCTTTAACGCATATGTTGCATTTGGTTTTTAAGCTATTCGAGATTAGAGATCGTTCTACCTTTGACCATAAATTGTCTCTAGTTATAAGTTTGATCAAGATGGTCATTAACCTTGCTTCCAGCATGTGCTCGATCACAGGAGTCTTTAGTCCACCCACATTGTATTCTTGTTGAAATATTGAGAACCTTGGAAGCATTTTAGATTTATCTTTAATCTAGTTTGAAATTATATTATTTAACTCCTTAATTTGTTTTTTATTAGGTGGTAAAATGTATGCAGTATACCATATATGTGAGAGCAATAGGGATTTGGCTATTAAAATTTTTCCACTGAAGGAAAGATTTCTTGAAGAAATTAATTTGTTAATTTTTTTTATCATATTTGGCCACATCCTATTATCTATTTGCCTTTTGATATTATTGAGTATCCCAATACTGATATATTCTCATTTTCTTCTAGTTTTTTAAAGAGTTCCCCTCCTTTAAGTTCTGTCCATTTCGCATTGCAGGTAAGAGGCACTAGCATCGATTTTGGCAATTTATCTTTGCATTTAAGGCTTTTTCAAATTTTTTGACCAGTTCAGAGAAAATAGCCCAGTCTGTATGCAAGCCTAATCCTACTATTAAGTCATCAGCATATACCGCTGTTTTAAAGTTTTGATTCTATATCTGTATTTCTCTTAAATTTTTATTTAATGTGCGCAAAAATATTTCGAAAACTATAATGTATAGCAGAGGTAATAGAGGGTTCCCTTGACGAACCCCTTTACTAATTTTGAATAATTCTGATAAAAGCCTCGTGTCAGTTATGTGGGCTCTTTGTTCTGAAAAAAGATTTTTGATTATATTCATGAATTTTGCTTCAAAGTTTATTTTTTCTAATATCAGTTCTATAAAATGATGGTTGACCCTATCGAATGCTTTCTGCTGATCTATAAATAATAACCAGTGCTGTTTTGTTTGATCTTTCTGATCTCTCATTGTAGAAATGACGTCCATGGCAGCATCTGTTATAGACCTACCTGCTATAAAGCCTTGTTGGTAGTTGCCTACTACACTGTGACAAATCATATTGAGTCTTGCTGCTAGAATTTTCATGAATATTTTATAGTAGCAATTAATAAGAAAAATTGGGTTCTAATTGCCCACTTCTTTAAGACTTTCTGACTTTTTTGATATGAGCGATATTATGTTTTTGGTCTATAATCTGGGCATTATTCCACCATCAATGACTTCATTGAACAGTTTTTCAAGTACTGGCACAATTTCTTCCTCAATTTTCTTGTAGAATTCTTATGTAAAGCCATCTGACCCAGGGCCTTATTATTTGGTAAGCTCTTTATTATGGATTCGATTTCTTCTTTTGTGATCTTTTTGAGCAGTGCTAAGTTATACTTTCTTGAGATTTGAGGCAGGTTGGAAGTTAACTCTTCTGTGGCTTCTGGATCGAAGTTCTCTTCTATATAAATTTCTTTATATGTACTTTTAATGTACTGTAGGATCTTATTTGATTCCACCTCAGTTGAGTCATCTGAATAAGAATTTTAGACATAGCCAGCACAGTATGTCTTATTTTATATCAGAAGAAAAAATATTTTGTCAAACATTCTCACTTTTTGACCCACTTTGCTTCCGATCTTATTTGCCATTTATTTGCTAATGCATCTAATTCATCCTATAGTTAGGATGATAATCATTCTACCATGATATTTAAGTCTTCATGGTTTGAGTTTGCTGCTATTTTCAGTTTTAGCTTAGTGACTTTTTTATTTAATTTTTGTATTTGATTTTTTGGAGTAGCAGGATGCCTATATGCTCTGATTATAGATTGAACACAGCACTTTAGATAGTTTCAATTTTCTACTTTTTGGCAGCTTTATATTTCTTCAATGATATTTCTTTTCAGATTTTCATTCCTCTAGCATCTTTTATTGAATTTCCAGTGGGCCGATTTGTCAGTTGAAGGTGTGAGGTTGAAAATACATTTGACAAGAAGATGGTCTGAGTTCCCAAATTGTGTTTTTACATTTTAATAGAACTGTATGTAATTGTCTTCAACAAAGATATAATCCAACCTAGTTGTCATGGTGTGGTTACTGCGTATTGTTTAGAAAAAGGTTAAAAAAGGCTTATTTGTTGCCAATTCTGCTGTATCAGTGAAATCTTCAGAATTTCTTGAAGTTTAGCTTTTGTAGGGTCACTATGTGCTTCCGCTTGACTAATTCTGTTGACTGGTGAGTTGAGATTGATATTAAAGTCACCTGCTATTATATTAATGGCTTCTTTATCTATTATGAAGACCCAATTGTTTAGAAATATGGTTCTTTTCACAATGTTTGGGGTGCGTAAATGTTTGCAATTCTAAATAGTCTATACTTGAATTTGAAGTTTGCTGTGATTACTCTTCCATCATAGGCTTCTTCAACATTCTCGAATATTATATCTCTTCTACCCCCAAGATGGCTGATTTGTTGTCTAATATAAATCATGCACCCACTATTGGGCAATAAATTTTTTTAGCTTTTTATCATTAAGATTAGTCTCTTGTAGCATTATAATATTAAATTGATATGACTTAAGTAATATTAATGTTTTCTGCTGCTTGTGCCTATTGTTTAGACCTTTCACATTAAGTGTGGCTATTTTTAGTACACAATTCATTAAATCTGATTTGATTTGGTGAAAGAGATTTGTTGAATCTTATTTCTTTTTGACTTTTTATACAGACTGTGCCTTTCAATATTAGTTACTACATTCTTGCCTTTTTTCTTTTTCATGAAAACTACTGTAAAACTGTTATCATCAAGCTCTTGCGCAGTTTCTTAATCATCTATCATTTCATTCCTACTATTGCTTGTGCAATTCATTGCTTCAAATTTAATGTTTATATGTTTATCTGTTGAACTGTCTCTTTCTCTGTGCTTGCTCCCAGCATACTCATGTCTTCAGTATTGTTCTCATTTATAGATGCTGAAGTTGCTTCTATCTCTATTCTTTCTTCAGATTGTGCATTGCCATCTACATTTATTTCATTAAAAGTTTGATCTACATGCAAGTTGTGTTCAAGGAAGGTTTCTTCTATCCTTGATACCCTATTTTCTGTATAAGGGTTATTATTGCTAAGAGTGACTTATTCCCTTACCGAGTTTTGTTGCCTCATGCACTCCTCTTTGTGTTTTTTTGAAGTTGCCAAGCTTAATTAACATTTTGTATTCAGGACAGTCCTGTTTAATGTACCTGACTTCGTCACAATAAAAACAATTTTGGCGCTTCTCTCCATTTTATTAGTACCTTTTGATCATATATGTGCATATATCTTGGCATTCTTTTTATAAGATTCAGATCGTTTGTTGTCTCAAATATAACTATCTATTGATTTGAGCTAATGGGGGTTCCTTTATAAACTAGTGGTTTAATAGAAGTTATTATATCCACATCCTCAAACACTTCCCTAATTTGTTTGAAGATAGATTTTTTGTGCTCCATAGGTATGTTCCTGAGCTTAATAAGTAATTAACTTCTCTTCAAGTTTATAGGAATGTAACCAAATATAGTTAGTTTAAAGATTGTTATGCCTTCTGCTGCATAGTATTTTTGTTTGTTCTCATTGGTAAAGACTATTTTCAGATGTGTGCAAACTCCCTTAGTGAAGTGGGATTTTGCTGTTACGAAGTCATTACTTATTTTTGCATACATGCTGGCAATAATTTTGTTAATCAAGAATTTGCTTAGATTTTGTATGTCAAATATTAACACATTGTCATTCTTTGTATGTATTTTGCTCCTAGAAGAGAATGTAGAATAAGTTGTCTTTCCTCTTCTCAATTTAATGAAGAGACTGGACCACTGTTTTTTGGTTTAATGCTTAGGTTCTTTCTTATTTTCTGTTACTATGCTTGTGTTACTCACTTCAGCTTGATCTTCCCTGTGTGCATGTGTAGTATCATCTGACTCTTTCTAGAAAGTTCCACTTTCAACGCTGTTACGTCGCAAGTCATGTCTAAAGTGTTTGAGAGGAGGCCTTTGGTTCTGTTAATTGTGCCTGGCATGTCCCTTATTGTCTGTTCTTTTCCTAGAGATTCTGCTCAGTTCGTTGGTGTTGTGTTCAGAGTATTTGAGTCTAACTCTTGTATTGAAGTGTGTTCTAAGTTTTCATCCATTCTTTCAGTTAAGGTTGTTGCAGCTTTTCTAGCTGTGTTTTTTGACCTGGTCTCATGAGTTTTGGTTCTTTTTCCTTGTAGATTTTCTATTTCTACGTCTGCAAGCTTTCTTTTTCTTCTCACAGGGGCTCCCGCCCTTGCTATTTGTTTCTTGTAGTGTTCGAGGCATTGCTTTATTATTATTAAACTTGGTTTTTTGCCTGTTTAAAAGACAATTATGACACACAGTACATAATGCAATGCAATGAAAAAGCTCTTCCACCAGTTTGTTCTGTATAAACTTGCAAGAATCTGATTTTCAATTGTTACACTTAATTCACTTAGTATAACCACTAAAATCATAATTATTAGCTAAATAAAAAATACAATTAAAAAACAGCATAAAGTATAGGGTTTTGTAGTTGAAAGAGTCAAAAAAATATGATTTTGAGATAATCAAGTTATCATGTCTGAAAATTTGTGTTTATTGGTTAATATTCAGGGTATTTTTGTGCCGAACCAAGTCTTGATGATTTTTGTGCCAAAATTTACTCAAATCTTTTATTAATTTTCAAGAGCAGTTTGCAAAAAAATTTTTCTTAATAAAATTTATTATAAAAATTTTTAAACTGATTTGTCTTCGCAATTCTTCAAAAACCCAACTAAATACGTAAATTGTATTAACTATAATTTTGGATAGTTTTAACTGCGATATAAACTTTTACTAATCAAAGCTATTTTTAATTTATAGCTAATAGAAAATGTTTTTATTTCACTCATCCATGCTAGGAAAAAATATGATTTTGAGATAATTAAGTTTATTGTGTTCTGAAATTTTGTGTTTATTGGTTAATAATTTCAGGTAATGTGCAAATCACAAACCACCTAAAATTTTTTATACAATAGATTTTCACGTCGAAATTTATCTGAATCTTATTGACTTTTGCACTGAAATTTACTCAAATCTTGATTGATTTCACACTAAAATTTATCTAATCTTATTGTTTTTTAGTGGCATTCTACCATAAAAGAATATTTTCTTAATGAAATTTATGATAAAAATTTTTAAATTGATTTGCCTTCAGATGTCTTCAAAAACATAACTAAATGTATAAATTGGCATGAAAAATTCTGTACCAGGTTTTGTCGATTATTGTGACACAGTTAAAATTTTCAAAGTGCAATATGTTAGGGTTAGCATTTGAATAAGGTTAGAGATTAGGAGATTAGCTATGCAAAGTTGCTTTTTCATTTAGCATTACCTGCCGACCCAAATTTTTTAAAATTCGGGGCATACGGAAGCCCGCTTGGCAAATCTTGAATAGAGAGGTAGCACAAGTCTTTGATGGTACTGCGTAAAGGATAACCAGCTAAAAAACTGATAAACTGAACGGGACCGAAGTGTTTGGCAAGACACTCTACTAATCAGGCCACCGGAAGAGTAACCGGGGAAAAAGGACCCAACCGTGAGTACCAGGGGCAGGTCACAGCCCTTCCGGGCTATCTGGATTGGAAGTTTAGGGAAGTCAGGGGGAGGATGACATCTGTATAGTGTGTACTGGGGTCTAGTGTGAACTCTACAAGGGTAGTAGTAGGTAATAGTAGTGGCTTCGGCTCGCAAGTACTTGTTCTCGGACTCAGTATAAGTTATTGTAAGTCTAGGTCAGCCTAAATGTGGGTATGGAAGGCTCTAGCAGGTTTACCTTGAGGTCAAAGAACTCCCTAAAATGGTTAAGTCTGCTTTAAAGCCCTAAGCCAGTATGTGAAAATAAGGTGGTACTAAGTATCATCGCTTGGATAAAAAAGAGTTGGTACATAGGCGTAGAGGGTTTAAATGGATAACCCCCCTAGCGGGGTGCAGGTACAGCATCTAGTGTAGAACTTAGTGATAGGCAGACTACTTAAATAGGCGCTCAAAAGGTGCAGGTATGGCTAGTTGTACTCTACAAATATGTACAGCCGTCAGATATGTCTGACGGTTAAAAATACTACTAATATTCAAATAAAGAGCAGCGTGGCAAAGAGGTCACCTTAAAACCAAAAAAAAAAAAACCAAAATTTTCAAAATCCCTATTTTTTTTTTTTTTGAGTTTCAATTACGTTAATTATTCCATTTTTGCTATTTATTTTTTTCATCTTTTTTATCTGGTGTCTACCGACAGTGACCTTAATTTTTCAAAATTATCTAATAGGACACCAAGCGAAAACTATATTTCGGGTCTTTAAATTTATAAATTTACTGAACTAAAACATGTAAACCCGAGGTCTGGTTTTCTTTTGGTAACGTTCAAATTAAAAAAAAAAAAAATCCAACCGACTGACCCAATTTTCAGATTCCATGTAATGTAAAATGAAAAATTAACTTTGCGTGGCCTAACGAGGTCAAGTGTACTTATATTATGATAGATCAATGCAAAAAGATTAAAAACTGAAACTGCATATTTCGCAAGAATTTAACAATTCAACTTTGTTTTTGTCACATGATATGCATAGAGGATTTTATTGGAGATATATTAAAAAAATTTAAAATTTTAGATTGTATGGCCTAATGTATAGTATATTATATAGCAAATGCCTTTACTTATAGGCCGTCTAAACTTCAGCAAAAAAGAAATGGCTAAAAAATATCGAATCAAAATTTCAACCAATCGATAAATGGTTAATATTAAAACCTGGATGGAATAAATACATTTTATTTGAATGATATTATCAAGGTTGGTATTTTTGTACTCTATTGCGGTATTGGGAATTTGCCTGATCTGATCATTGCTTTATTACTTAATTGGATATTTTTAACATTAACGTTACATATAAATTTTTATAATTACATTGGTACATTTTATCATTTTAACCTAATAATATATATATTTAATAATTGTAAATTATTTAGAATAAACCCATTCTTTATATGTAAAAAAAATAGCATGGTGGACAAGTCCAAATTTGGATGATCGACATTGTGGCTTAGCCAATTTAATAAAAAAATTTTTTTGATTTTTTATACAGTTTAAAGT